CCCCAAAACCCCAAAACCCCAAAACCCCAAAACCCCATCTCTGAGATGTTATTGAAATCATAAAATCAACCAATATTGGATGCCCCTAAAACATATCTACCAAGAAACTGGCGCAAGCCATCCTAGCTATCAAATCTAGCCTATTTGCTGTGAAGAGATCAGCCTTCGACTAAGTTCCCATTTGCCTTCTGATCGGAGTCAGAAGTGTCTTAGTTAGGAGATGATTTTGTGGTAGCCAAAATATACTTATCAGATAAGATTAAAATTAGCTTGGAGTCATACAAACTCTGTCGAGAAGAGTGGATTCGTATCCATCAGTCAAAAGAGCATTGTTAATTCTGGCTCCAACACCTTCATCCCAGTTACATCTAGTAGTCTCTTCAGGAATAGTGATTTCACATTCTAAGAATTCAGCCTTGGCGGAGGTAAGAATGGAGATTGGATCAATTTGCAGATTACCAGCGTAGCAGAATTTGTCCTTATCTTCTACTTCGAAGCTGAGTGGGAGCCTGAAGTGGACAAACTCTAGGGAAGGACCGATAGACAATCTAGCAGGCCCAGTCAAAGAGTTGAGAGAGAAGTTGGCAGTCATGGTAGCGTATGGAGTGACAGTGAGGTTATAGAATCTATCCTCATCGTGGAACTGCAAAGAGCGGAATCCAATGATGAATAACCACTCTGCTTCGAAGCAAATAACTGGTTTGTTTTGCTGGTCATTAATGCAGTATTGGTAATCAAATTGCTTTACCATTTCTCCAGTGGTTGGATCAATATTGTCAGCCAAAGTCTTCAAGAATGGGTAAAATTGGTTGAAGAGCTGAATGTAAGTAGTGAGTTCAGATGATGATCCTTCGTTCAAAACTCCGTCAACAAGAGATCTGATTGGGGAACCTTCATTTAGGATGCTTTCAAGTCCGAAATTCTCAGTTCTACTAGTAGAGGCAGTCACAGCAGCAATTCAGAAAATTGCAAGAATAATAACCTTCATTATGCTAATAATTATTATATACAAAAACAGAAAATAAAGGGGTTTTGGGGTTTTGGGGTTTTGGGGTTTTGGGGTTTTGGGG